CGTTGAGAGTGGGTGAGGTGGCTCCTTCCCGGCTGCGCCTGCGTCGCATCAACAGCTCAACGCCATGGTCGCTCGTCTCGCGCAAGCCCTCGTGTTCGCCGCCGTCGCCGACGCGCTCGTCGCGCCGACGCGCCCGCGCCCGAGCCGCGTGGCCCGCGGAGCACACGGCGACGGCCCGCTGCTGAGCGTGCCCATCCCCGGGAGCGCGAGCGCGACGCTCCAGGTGCCCGGCTTCGCCGCGCAGCGCGCGCTCCTCGAGGCGCTCGTCGAGGAGTCGCGCGACGTGCCGCCGCTCGCGGCGCTGCGGCGGTCCGCGGCGCTGAACGCGGCCGTGGCGAAGACCGCGGCGAAGGTGCTCCGCGACCCGGCGGCGGCGTCGGCGCCGCGGGCGACGCGCGAGCTCTTCGAGGAGCTCGGCGCGACCTTCGTCAAGCTCGGCCAGCTCGTCGCGTCGAGCCCGACGCTCTTCCCCGAGGCCTGGACGGCCGAGTTCGAGAAGACGCTCGACGGCGCGCCGCCCGTCCCCTACGCGACCGTGAAGCGCGTCGTCGAGGCGTCCCTGGGCACGACCATCGCGGCGGCCTTTTCGACCTTCGACGAGGCGCCCCTCGCGACGGCGTCCGTCGCGCAAGTCCACGCGGCGACGCTGCGGAACGGCGACCGCGTCGTCGTCAAGGTGCTGAAACCGGGCGTCCGGGACACGCTGACGGCGGACCTCGTCTTCCTCAACGGCGCCGCGAAGATCTTGGAGGCCGTGGCCCCGGAGACGAAGCGCGTGTCCCTCGCGGACGTCGCCGCGCAGCTGCGGGACTCGACGCTCCAGGAGCTCGACCTCCGGGAGGAGGCGCGGCGCCTGCGGAGCTTCCGGGGCTTCCTCGCGTCGAGCGGGCTCGACCAGGCGGCGACGTGCCCGCTGCCCTACGAGGACCTGTCGTCCAAGGAAGTCTTGACGATGACGCGCCTCGACGGGTCGCGCCTCGTCGACGCGGACGCGTCCAACCCGGCCTCCGAGGCCGCCGTCGCGACGGTCATCCGCACCTGGGCGCGGTCCGTCGTCGAGCACGACTTCTTCCACGCCGACGTCCACGGCGGCAACGTGCTCCTGTTGCGCAACGGCACCGTCGGCATCATCGACTTCGGCATCGTCGGCACGCTGCCCCCGGCGGTCTACGGCGCCGTCGTCGACCTCGCCGCGGCCTTCAACGCGCGGCCCCGGGACTACGGCGGCATCGCCGACGCGCTCCGGGGCATGGGCGTCGCCGACGGCGCGAAATTCGACCGCGAGAAGTTCGCCGGCGACCTCCGCCGGGCCTTCGACGCCGTCGAGGCCAACGACGCCGCGGCCATCGTCGGCGACGTCATCGCCGTCAGCGAGGACAACGACCTCGTGCTCCCGCGCGAGTTCGGCTTGCTGACGAAGCAGGCGGTCTACCTCAACCGCTACGTCACGACGCTCGCGCCGGACCTCGACGTCTTCGAGGGCGACCTCCTCGGCGCGGGGGGAGCGCCGCCGGCGGCGGCGGGTGCAGCGGCGCCTGTGGCGCCGGCGGCGCCGGAGTAAGACACACGCGCGCAGTGGTTAGACGCCGGACAGGCTCTTCGAGGCCTTCTTCGAGGCCTTCGTTGCCGCAAAGGAGCCGACTCGCTGAAGCGCTCGGCCAGGTCTTCGCGCTCGAGTCGCGCCGCCGCCCTTGCGCCTCGGTGTCCGCGCCGTCGCGAGGACCGCCATGGCCGACGTCGGCGCGCGCCTCGCCGACATCGGCGGCTCGGGCACGTCCGAGGACCAAAAAACCAAGTACAAGGCCGTCGTCGACGCCCTCGCGGCGTCGAGCGACGTCGGCGGCCTCCAGGCGACGCTCACGCACCTGCTGAGCGACGCCGTGCCCCAGGTCGTGTCGCGCAACGTCGTCGCGCACTTCGCGCGCGCCGTGGCCGCCGTGGCGCCGCCGGAGCGGCTCGAGTCCATCTGCTCCTGGGCCGTCGCGGCGATCCAGCCGCAGAAGCAGTCGTTCGAGGACGCGGACCACGCGCTGCGCCACGCGCTCTACGACTGCTACCTCGCCGAGGGGTCCTACAAGGAGGCGGCCTGCACGCTCGGCGGCATCGACGTCGAGACCTGCTCGAAGCCCTACGCGGACTTGGACAAGGCCGCGCTCTACGTGAAGATCGCCGAGACGTTCCTGGAGGACGACGAGTCCGTGGACGCGGAGACCTACGTGAACCGCGCGTCGGGCCTCATGCACGCCGTCGACGGCAAGGTCCACTGGGCGCTCCAGCTGCGCTACCGCGTGACGCTCGCGCGGACGCTCGACGCGCGGCGCAAGTTCCTCGACGCGAGCATGCGCTACTACGAGCTGTCGCAGGCGCGCCACGAGGAGGTGAACCAGGACGACTTGCTGGCGCTCCTGTCCAAGGCCGTGACCTGCGCCCTGCTGGGCAACGCGGGGCCCCAGCGGTCGCGCATCCTCGGGCTGCTCTACAAGGACGAGCGCGTGACGTCGCAGATGGAGCAGTCGGACGCGTTCGCGGCGCACGCGCGCGTGCTCAAGCGCATGTTCACGGGCCAGGTCGTGCGCACGCCCGAGATCGCCGCCTTCACGGCGACGCTGCTGCCCCACCAGAAGGCGCTGCTGGGGGACGGCCTCACGATCCCGGAGAAGGCGATGATCCAGCACAACCTGGCCGCGGTGTCGCTCGTCTACGTCAACGCGAGCCTCCGCGAGGTCGGCGCGCTCCTCGACATCGACCCGCGCCGCGCCGAGCAGGTCGCGAGCCGCATGATCGCCGACGGCCGCCTCGCGGCGAAGCTCGACCAGGTCGACGGCGTCCTCCACTTCGCGGACGACGCGCCGCCGCTCGCGCGCTTCGACGACTCCATCGCCAAGATCTGCCTCGCGGTCAACGCGTGCTACGACAAGATCTCCGCGCTCTCCGACGAGGCGACGTCCGCGGCGGCGGCCTAGGCTGCGCCGTCCTAAAGCACGCGGGCTCGTACGCCGTCGTCGGTCGCGGCGGCGCGAGGGTTCGCTGTTACTCCCTCGTCGACACGGGCGGTCGCCGCCGCGCCTTGGGCGCGTCGACGACGAGGCGCCGGACGTCGCGGAGCTCGCGCGCCGTGATCTCCGCGGGGATCGTCGACGCGAGGAATGCCGCGGCCTCGACGGTCATGTCGATCATGGGCTTGCAGACGCCGCCCCGCGCGATGGCGTGGAGCACGTTGACGCGGTCCTTGCCGCTGTGGTTGCGCTCGTCGCAGCGCCGGTGCCAGAGGCGGCTGTCGTAGACGACGGCGGCGCCCCGCGGCGCGACGAACTGCCTCGCGCGCGCGTGGACCGGGTCCCCCGCGAGCGAGCCGACGTTGTCGTTGAGCTCGTCGGGCCAGCGGTTCTCGAGGTGGCTCCGCGGCATGTACATCGTGCCGCCGTTCTCGACGGTGAACTCGTCGACGCAGAGGTTGACCTGGACGCCGAGCGGCTCGTCCGGGAACGCGAAGGGCGCGCCGCCGGCCGCGTTGAAGTCGGCGCTCCGGTAGGGGTAGTCCGCGTGCCAGGCCTGCCCCGCGAACGCCGCGCCCGCGAGGTCCCGCGTCGGCTTGAGCGTGTTGACGATGGGCGTGTGGCAGAAGTGGAGGCGCCCGGCGCCGGCAGAGCGACTAAAACACCAACTCTACGCCGCGCCGCGCCCGTCGCGACGACGGGACCGAGCGCCGTCGAACGGTCCAAGAATCGCGGAAATCCGTCGCGATCGGGCCGAGCGGCCGAGCGCGCCGGTCCCGCGGGTCCGCGGGCACCACGACGCGACGTTCCCGCCCCTCCCGCGCCGCCGCGATCACCGGCGGGGTCGGTCCGAAGCACCGGTGCGTCCTCCGGCGCCGCGGGCCGCGGGACGACGGCAAAGCGCCGGCGTCGCGACCCGGAGCGACGCCTCGGCCGCCGAGTGCTCTGCTTTTTGCACGACGACGCTCGTCGTCAGCTCGCCCTCGGACGGCGACGGAGGCCCGGCGGCGAGCGTGCGGCGCACGGACGCGCGCAACCCGTGGTGCGGGCGATATATGAGAAATTAAGGTCACTGCGAGAGCTTTGGCAAAAATCTCGTGAAGCCGAGGAGCTTGCCGGGCAAGTGCTTGTAAAGCGATCGCTAAACCACGGCTCCCAGCGTCTCCGCCGGCCGTCCAGCGGGTCGCGAGCTCCGGCCACCGCTCCGCCCGCCGGTCCCCGGGCCCCGACGCGGACGTCCCGCCGGCTGCGGGGTTCGCTGCGGCGACCGGTGGCAGCGCCGCGGTCGGCGCGCGGTCCGCGCCGACGGAGGCATCGGCCGCGTCGACGCGGTCCTCCAAATTTTCGATCGGACGCCTGGGAGCGGTCCTGGGGACGCTCCGGGGGAAGTGCACGAGGCACGGCCCAAAATCTCCGGGCACGGTGTTTTCGGGTTTCGTGTCAACTTGGACTTCAAACAGAATGTCCACAACTCGCCAGGATCTTGAGCTCGAGTCGATCTCGTGCGCCGCGCCGCGTCTCTCGCCCCGCGCGCGCGCCCCGGGGCCCCGCGCGGCCCGCGCGACGCCCCGCGCGCCCCACGACCCCGCCCGGGCCCTGACACACCCACACAACCACCCCTGTTCGCTCACAGGTGCTGATCGCCTCATCGATTTCAACCATGGCCAAGGACAAGGCGTCGACGCGCAAGCCCCGCCGGCGCAACGCCCGGGCGCGCGACGACGGCGGCACGCGGCGCGCGACGGAAGCGACGCCGCCCGTCCGGGCGTCGAAGCGACTGTCCGTGCAAGTGTCCGCGGCCGCGTCCGCGTTCCTCGTCAACTTTAGGCTCCGGCTCGACGCGACCGCGGCGATCTTCGTCAACTACCGCGAGGAGCGCGAGGACTTGGTCAAGACCGAGGCCGCCGACCTCATCGAGCAGAACGTCGCCGAGCTCATGCAGCTCTGCTACCGCGGCGCGTCCGCCGGCGAGTTTGAAATTCGAACGTTCCCGCCCGGCCCCTCGCGCGGTCCCTCGCGCTCGCCCCGCCGGGCGCGGCCCACCATCGCTTCGGCGCGCGCGAGCCTTCCCCGCGCAGGCATGCTCGACTCGACCGCGGACGTGCTCGCGGCGGCCGTGCTCCGCGACCGCTCGGCGTCCCGACGGTCCCGCGCGCGCGTGCTCCGGGGGCGGGGGCGGGGTCCGGCGGGCGCGCGCGCGCGCGAGCGACTGCACGGACACGTCCTTCGCCCCCGCAGGCACGGAGTGGAAGGACGACGCGTCCGCGGAGGACGAGGGCCGGTCGCGCAAGCACCTGTCGGCGCGCGGCGCCGCGACGGCCCCCGACGGCTTCGGGGCCATGTCCATCCCTCGCAGGTCGCGGCTCGCGCGGCGCGTCGCGTCCTTCCACTGGGGCAACCTGCCCGTCGCGCGGCGTCCGCGAACGCGTCCCCGGAACCGACGACGCGCGCGCGCGCCCGACGCGTCGCGTCGCCGCCCTCGAGCCCCCGCTCGCGCAGGACGTCGCAGATCGCCGACGAGGGCGGGCCCGCGACGCACCAGCTCGTCGCGGCGACGGTCATCCCGGACCGGTCCGCGGCGCGCCGCGGCGCGCGCGCGATCGCCACGGAACCGCCGCGCGCCGACGGCCGCGGCTTCGCCCCGCGCAGTTGCTGATCCAGTTCGTCGTGCTCCCGCGCAAGATGGGCACGGGCCGCGACTCGCTCGAGGTGCGCGACCCGCGCCCCGGGCCCCTCGCGCCGCGCCGCGCGCCGCGGAAGCGGCGGAAGCGACGACCGCGCGCGCGTCCCCGCGCAGACGGACGAGAACGTCGTCACGTGCTTCATCGACGGCGCGGCGACGCTCAAGCGCGCGCGCAAGCAGGGCCTGCTCCGGCCCGTCGCCCCGCGTCCTTTGAACGCGCGCGTCGCGCGTCGACGTCGTCGCTTCCGAACGACTTCGATCGTCGTCGCGCGCGCGGGCCGCCCTGTCACGGGCCGCTCGAGCTTCCGCGACCCGTCCGGGTCCATCCCCGATGACCTCGACCCCGTCGCCCGCAGGTTCCAGTTCGACTTCGTCCTCATGCTCTGCCGCCGGCTCGGCGTGAAGGACGTCTTCCTCTTCGCGACGGAGGCCGGCGCCCCGGCCTGGCTCACCCTCGGCTTCGAGCACGTCGGCAGCTCGGCGTCGCTGATCCACCTGCGCTTCGACCTGCTCTTCAAGCGCGACCGCGGCGTCCTCGCGCGCTCCGCCCGCGGTCCCGAGACGTCGCGCCTCGCAGCTGCTCGATGGACCGCGCGCTCAAGATCTTCAGCGACTCCGCGGGCCTCTACCCCATGGTGCGTCGCCTCGCGCGCGCCTCGCGCTCGCGGGCCTCGACGCGCGTCTTCTAGGCGTTGAACATCGAGGGCGAGGCCTTCGACGACGACGAGTCGTTCACGCGCGCGCTCCGCGTCCTGGAAACGCCCCTCACGATACCTCACCCGCGCCGTTCATAGGTCCGCCGTCCAGGAGCGCGTCGCGGAGTACGGCGAGAAGCAGGTCTCGCGCCTCGCCAAGGAGGCCGCGAACGCCGCGGCCGAGGCCGAGCCCGAGAACGACG